GGGTTTGTCTTGAATGTGTTAATATTTTCCACGAGAGCCTCAAGTATGACACACACAACTTCCAACTTTCAGAAAAAGCTGGAAATTTTTATACCTGCCGAAGACATGAACCCATGTTTTTCCCATTAATTTAAAAAAGTTCTCTATTGACTTTATTTTATGATATTTTTCTGACGTTCCAGATTTTTCACGTGAAAATTTCATAACGAAGCATTAATAAAAAGTGCTTTTGACAAACTTTAATTTCCTTTATAAGACTTATTCAGTTGTAGGCATTTGCGCTTCTTTATTTCTGTGCTAATACTTAGTAGGGGATAGTTGTTCTCTTCGCGCCCTGTGGAAAAGGATTTAAAAATGCTGATCTCTAATTTCGAATACATTTTTGCTACTCCTGCAATTTAGTATAATAAAATTTCTGGAGAAGAAACATTGTTTGTGTCAGAATGCATCGTTCGAGCATCGCGATAAAACATGAAGCCTTTTACTTTAAAAAAACATCATCGCATGTGGCAACTCAGAATTTCGATCCAAAACTCTCCTAAATTCTCCGGAGATGCACAGAACCTGCATCAGAAATTTCAAAAAAGGGATGAAAATACTTCAGGTGCTTATATATTCTACACAATTTCCATACATTTATATACAGAGCTGTATGGCACCCCAAGGCTTCTTCGTTATCTCCACACTTCCCACGTTTCGTACCGGAAGAAGTTTGGATCACATTATACAGCGTATAAAAACAGCATATTATGAAAGCTACATAAGAAGGATCAATGCGGCGCAATAATCACTGGATGAACGCAATGATCGTTGCTTTGCGATTTTACTAATGACGGCGATTATTTGTAAAGCTATACAGATTTGATTCATCAGTTATTTCGCGGAAACGGATGAGCAACGTCTCGTCGTACATGAGAATTCCCTCAGGAAAATGGTTTGAAAATTGAGGGATTCGGTTAATCTTCGGTATGAGTTCAAGCGTGTGATGAATCGAAACCACGGTATTTTCTGAACAGCAGCGGTACATTTTCTTTCACCGCGCGTATATTTGTTTGCATAGATGATGCGGATGTCATCATTATCATAGTTGTGGAAATTGTGCATTCCCACGTTTAAAAATCACTCAATTCAGTATAACTATTACAGCTGAAAAACTTCATGACCGTATATACACAGTAGATTTATTTATTGATACCGCAAGCAGTCAGATGAATAATTCCTCGGGAAGGCGCAAAATTCTGTACACATCCTGCTACAAAATTGTAGACGCAGAATAGCTATGTTTACGACTATTTCCATTTTGAATTTATTCTTAAAATCATCCAGCGAGGTTGAAGCTATGTTGCAGAAGCCGAAACAAATTAAAAATGAACTGTTCACACTACATATACATAGTAGATACGTCTTTCATTTTCTCAAACCTTTTGAAGACATTTTTTGTGCTTTTTATATCAATAAATCGTTAACCATGCATAGACGAAGTCGAGATCTCAAACGTAAGGTGGACACGCAATGGCTCTTAACTTGCGTTTTTCATGTACTATGTAATTTGAAGTAATTCGAAAGGGCTTTTCACAGATTTAAATCCTAGTACTTTGTACCGAAAAATTTACGTGTTTTACATAAGCCCAGTAACACCAGTTATGGAGTAATAAATTGAAACAAGTTAAAGAAGACTTGGGCTACTTATGACATGAAAATTTTAAAAGCAAAAAAAATTCAACCTGCATTCTATCATCGTGATCTTTAATTTTAAAGTGATACTTGCTGCAGAGTTGTGTAAGTTATCCTGATCTGTGTAATTGTGTTATGCTAGAAATATATAAAGTAAATTTAGGGTTTTTTTATTCATAAATCTGCATAAACCAAAATATGTGACCTCATCTTCATATAAGTCAATACATATATTACTGGATGGCTTAAACTATACTGTATTTACATTCCACACTTCTGCATCATATTAATATCGGCATCCATTTCAGACATGGATGTGTAGTTGATTCGTGCAGGAAATGTTTATCGAACATTTTTTTTCTAAAATTCTGCAGGTTTTATATAGGAGCATTGTACCTATTTAGATATAGCATAATGAAATCTTGGACAACCTGAAAATATTCTGAACATGAGAAGTTCATGAGAAATAAACCCTTGCCGTCCTGAGGATACTGCTGTGTGTTTGATGACATCATTCGGAACTGCTCAGTATATAAATAAATAATCGTATATGTGCAACGATTTCGCATTGTCACTCATCTTATCCCATTATTAGTATGAGTCTTGTACAATATAGTGCAGATAGAAAGTGCAAAAGCATCTGAAGCATATGTAATAGAAAGAAATAATGACACACTATATCATATGCTGTATATAAACTTTATACGGTCCCATCGCGTATCAAAAAAATTTGCGCGCAGGACAAAAATGTCTACATGTATTTTGTTTAACATGCGAGCATATATATACGGGGAATTTGCAGGAGGTTTTTTTCAAAGACAGATTATCTATATGAATGAAAACTAATAATGAGTCCCTGAATACGCTGCCAAGATTCAGTCGAAGGCAATCGATCTCAATTTTGCTCCTAAATAATGCAATTATACGGCTAGTATACTTTGCTGCTGTGGCTATTACCGGATATACATACAGGCATCACCGTCAGCCGAATTATACAATCGTCGTATACCTAGGTTCCGCTAGCATTCGTATATAAATGTCATTTAGAAAATTCAGAATACATTAATGTTCATCGAATGAACGCGAAACACGAAACTTTCCCTAATTTGTATTGCATTCGATTCTGTTGCATTCATCATTGATGGTGTGGTGTTCTGCGTTTTAAATCCCGGAAGCCCACGCAGGGTTACACATGCTTTGATAAACGACTCGACTATTTCTGTCATGGCGCCGATAGACCGTGCTCCACGACCGTAACCAAGCTACAGGTGTACAAGCAGCACGCAAATCGTTTTCTATACCCCTCAAGTAATCGTCCAACGCGTTATAACGGCGCTACCTGCATTATGGAGCTCTTCACAAGGAAGTGAATCATCCATGAGAGGATAGAATTGTGGTTGTTGCGCTGAAAAGATTGTGACTTGTGAAGAGCTTTTGGGTCTAGTGTACTTTAGCGATGCCAGCTAAACGCACTGTGCGCGTTCATGCGCGCGTCCATTTTTCAACCTGTGCTGCCCTCTATGTGTACTTTGCTTTCTTACAGCTTCGGAACCAACGCCTCCAGCAACCCTGGCAATGAGTGACTTCAAAGGCTACCTCACAGTAACACAGGAACCAAGCAGCATTGCATCCACATCAAATCACAATATCTCTCAAAGTGTCCTTTATTTGTGTGTCTTTGTGTCCTTGCTTTGTGTGTCTTTGCATGTGGGAAGA